TTACTTCATCGAAATCGACGCGCGCGCCCGCTGTCGATCGCGCTCGTGATTCGTTCGCAGCGTTCTTCAGGAACGATGCAAATTACGACGCGATCCAGAAATAGTTCCCGTCCGCGCGAGGGAAGGAGCGGACGTGGCGGGAATTTCGCTCGGCGATCTCGCGAGCGCTCTTCTTCGAAGCGACGTGCGCGCGAGCGTGGCCTCGTTCGCGCGGGCGAGTTAAAAGCTGAGGCCGATAAGCTCAGGCATTGAGCGCGCACACGTCCCTGCGCCGCTATGCAACGCGCGCGCGCTCGCGTCTTGCCACCTCACCGACACATCGCGCTCGCGAGAGAGTGGATACGCCTATTACCGCTCGCGAGATTAGAGCAATTTATGGTATCGTCCGAGAGAATGCAGACCCACGCAGCGAGAGCACGCTCTGCACTTCCGGCCGAGAGCATGTGTTGCACCGATTTCGTCCGGCTTCGCACATATCGCGATAACACACACCTTCCGTGTTAAAACGAAGTCACCCTCAAAACAGAGGCTGGATCGTCGACGTTGGACCCACGACGAGTTGTGGATAGAGCGACATGCAGCATGTTCTTTTCCGCTTGTACTAGTTTTCTTCTCTCTCTCTCTCTCTCCTTCTCTCTCTCTCTCTCTCTCTCTCTCTCTCTCTCTCTCTCTCCCTCTCTCTCTCTATCAAGTGTCTGTATACCTGTCTTTATTTGAGGGTCGAAGGTGCACACTAATCCTAATGGTGATATTCAGAAGCAGACGGATGAAGAAAAGAAAGAGTCAACTTCCCAGCCTGGATGATACCTCGGGCATGCCGCGGATGCTCGCAGGTTGAAAGCGCGTTTTCCGATAATCCGTCGCTCACCCACGCTACCGCTGGCACGCCAAGTGCGCTAAGCGCGTTTATCCCAAGCGATACACGTCGCGCCGGTACTCGCTGGCCCGCTCCGCCTGCTCTCCGCTCGCCACAATGCCGTTTTCAATGGCAGGCCTCAATTTGCCGTAATTATTATGTTTATCTTCCTCATTCACTTAAGTCCGCGCACCGGTCTCGGCGATCCGGTCCTCCGTGCTCGTTGCCCGCGACAGCGCCGAAATAACGCCCGCTGCCGACCGCGCGACGGCGATTCGGCGCCGCTCTCTCTCTCTCTCTCTCTTTCTCTCGGTGCAGTCTCTTCTCTCGGCCAACAATGCTCGCGCGCTCTCTCGTTTTCCATTTACCCAACGTGATCGAGATTCCCCCTTGGCCGATCGCGACCAAGGGACTCGTGGGAGAAACCAGCTCGCTCGTCGAAGCGATCGTTGTCGACCTTAGACAGAAGAAACGAACGACGAGAGGAAGGCGGGAAAAAGCGAACGAGAGAATCACGCCCGTCCCGTCCCGTCACCGTGCCGTCAAATCCAATTTAATCAACGCCGATCGAGATGGCCGTGCGCGATTACTCTCCGCGATAATAACCGAGAGAGAATTCGAGATGCGATCTTCCAGCCTTCCTCCGCCCCCCGCCCGGAACGGAACGTTCGTACGCACGTACGTAATCCGCGCGTTATCCGCGCAGACGGAGAAGGAGAGACGAGACGAGCGCGCGCCGTGCGTGGCTACGTGGCCACGCGCCAATCATTACATCCTGGAAAGGGTGGGTCTAACCGATCCACTGTGTCAAATCCAATTTGCGTGATCCTTTCCCTCGGAAACGACACGAAATCCTCGTCACGCCCGGCAATTTGCGGCTCGGCCGAGCCGAGTCGAGCAGAGCCGAGCCGGCTGCACTTTCGACGAGCGTGAGAAGCGAGTGTCGGAATGTTGCACCTACGAAGGAAATAACACGACTTAGCGCTTCTCGACAACACAGACATACGTATGCACACCTGTGCACATGTTCACACATACAGCGGCTAGACGCGAGCAGCGCGCGCGCGCGCGCGTTGACCGTTTCATAAAATCCACCTCGGGGCGTTACAACTTTATTCCGATCGGTCTGGAAATATCTCTTTCCCGGCTCCTCGCGACCAGCCGAGGAGCTGGACGATAACGATGACGATGACGACGACGACGATGACAACGACGACGACGACGACGACGACGACGACGACGACGCGCGCGCCGCGAAGCCACGCGCCGATCATTACGCTCGCGAGAAGGCGGTAACTGCCGATCCAGTTTGTCAAAGTCAATTTGCGTGATCCGTCTGCCGCGGAAACGACACGGAATCGACTCGACTCGACTCGACACGCCCGATAATTTACGGTTTTTGTGCTGAGACCTGGTGGCGCGTGCGATAATGAAAGGCGTGTGCGGTGGTACCGAGTCCTTTCCTCCGGAGGCGTGTAATAGAGCGAGCAGGCATGAGCGGGACGACGCGCGCGCGCGCGCGCGCGCGCGCGCACCTTGAGACGAACGACACTCGAACGGGAGAAATTATCGCGAGTTATATGCCTTCGTTTCGTTCATGCCAGGCTGCGCGCAGGTGGTGCGTTACTTCGGATTCAGGTGTATGCCCGATGCCTCGCGCGGCCCTCGACGCGCCGACGAGTGCTCGACTCGGAGAGGAGTTTGACAAGTTTCACCGTGCCGCTCCTCCGTCATCTTTCGAGCGAGTTCTGTGTGGAGATGCTAATGATACGAGCAAATGGCGCAAAATTGCACTAAAGCCGAAAGAAGGTAAGGACCTTTCTGGACAGGACTGACTGGCTGGCCCTTGACTTCTCGGTACAGCGAGCATGCTGGCGCGCGTCCGCTCTCCTCCGCTCTCGAGTTTGCTTGACCGAAGCGGAGTTAGCACGAACGGATTGTTTCTGCGGCCGAGCGAAGGCCTTTAGGAAAGTGTAAAGAGCGTCTAAAGCAGAAAGGAGAGGATGTAAGGGCAAGGGAGCGAGGGAGAGGGAGAGACAGAGAGGGGGAGGAGATGCAGAGGGACAGAGAGAAAGAGAGAGAAAATGACAAAGTAACTGCCGAGCCGGATAGAACGCGAGAAAGAGAGAAAGAGCGAGGATGAAGCGAAGATGAGCACGGGGCTGTGAGAGGAGAAAGAAGGAAGAGGTTAGCGAAGGGGAGACGAAGATGGGAGACAGAAGGAGGAGGGGGAGAGGAGGATTTAAGGAGTAAGGAGAAGAAGAAGAAGAAGAAGAAGAAGAAGAAGAAGAAGAAGAAGAGGAAGAAGAAGAAGGAGAAGAAGAAGAAGAAGAAGAAGAAGTTGAGATGGTCCAGCGCGGGCAGCATCACCACCGCAGCCGGAGGTGATGACCTGCTCAAGGCCACCCGCTCCCAACCTCTCGGACCGAAGAGGAGAACCACTCTTCTTATTTTTCGTTGCTCCCTTTTCTCTCTTTCGACTCCTCGCAACTCGACTCCTCGTCTCTCTCTCTCTCTCTCTCTCTCTTTCTCTCTCTCTCTCCTTTCTTCTCCTTCCTTCCTTCTGGCTCTCCCTTCCTCGCTCTCGGTCGGTTTCCGTGCATCTGCCTCTCTTAGGCTCACTGAACTTTGCACGCCTCTCTCTCTCTCTCTCTCTCTCTCTCTCTTTCTCTTTCTGCCTCACACACCTCTTTTCCTTCGTCGCCAAATTTGGTTAAGCGATTAGGACAATGAATGGAGTTTGCGGAAACTTAGCATTGGGTGACACAGAAACCACACACTCTTCTCTTCGTCTATAAGTTTTTCCAGCAAACTGGAAATTAATTACAACTCGTAACTAGTGCGGTCTAAACACCGCGGGCGAATCTTGCACTCGAGAGAGCCACTCCTCTCTCTTTATTATTACTATTATAATTCGTAGTTATGGACGAGAAACCGTCGTGCCTCGCGAGGTTTTAATCTCCGACATTCAGTGGAAACTTACTTATTCCAAAGTCCTTCACTTTTACACGCTAGTGCTGCATACATAATGCCGCGTTCCTGACGCATATTTTTCGCGAGACTGCCAACGGCGCCACACTCGTCTTCTCTTTTTTTACGGCTGCATAAACTCGCATCCAGATGTCGGCGGGCAGAATTCGAGCAAAACTTGCGGGAGGATGCGTCAGGCAGTCGTACGAAAAAGAAAATTCAACCGCAATGCAAGAAGTCGTAAAAGTCGACGAAGATCGCGCAGCTAATCCGCCTGCCGCGGCGATAGTGTTCACCGGCGAAGAATGCGGTGCATCGTCGCCGCGGTGCCGCGAAAAAAGGCCCAAGGCTCGCCTTATTTATCCTATTATCTGTTTGATTAATTCGATCGCCGGCCGCTCCTCGCAAGTGCGATCATTCAACAACGCGCGAAGCGCGCGCACGGCGATCATAATTGCCGTTGCCGGAATTTCGAACAGAGTGAGAGAGAAGATGAACATTTGCGGTAAAATGACGTCGAGTAAAATTGTCGTGCGTAACCGCAAGGGAAGAAGAAGAAAGCAACATCAGCCCCGAGACGCTTCGAAAGGCTTCGGGGATAGAATTGACAGGAGAGATTGTGAATGTGGGGACACATCTCGTACGAAAAATATACACTTCGTAGCGACTTGGCGCGTGGTGCGCACACTGCTCGGTGTATCTGATGTTTAATAAACGCGGGTCAACTGGAGTCAACGGTGCAGCTGTGTCCACCGTCGGCGAACTATTACCTCGATTCATTATCAGTGGCCTCTTTGTGCACGTCTCTTGTTTCGTAGGACTCCCCCACGCTGCCCTCCCCGTTAACTTCTCTTAATTGATATGTCACCCACGGCGCAGTTCCGCTGGCCGTGTAGTCGCGAGCACATTCGTAAAAACGTGTCCCATATAAATCTAATCGCATCGTGATTCAAAGAAGCGACTCGTTGCGCGCGCGCGCGCGCGCATCACTTTGATCCTTCTTTTCTCACGCTCAGGCAACAACACCTTCGGCGAATCGGCGGAAGTTATCCTCGTTGTTTCGCAAAAGATAAGAGGTCAGCTTGCGCGCGGCTATGTTTGAAGATTAATAAAGTAACAGCTGGACGACTTGTACGTCTATAAGTAAAAGTACGTGCATTTCATTCTGTTGCAGCGCGAGATGACGAAGCAGACCGCGTGAGCAAGATTGCAGAGTACACGGAGGAGGAAAACAAGAACCCGAGCAAAGGTAAGGAGAAGGAGCGAGCGAGAACGAGAGAGAGAGAGAGGGGGGGGGGAACATTATTAGAAGCACAAAATATCTACATCCCGCGAAGAGATCGGAACATTTCAAGGAGGAAATGTAAATTATAAAGGAGCGCGCGATTTTTCCGCGCGATCGCCGCGCACGAACAATGCGCGGAGTCGCAAAAGAGTCCTCCGAGACCGACACACTTTCCCGCACGATCTTATCGCGGGGACATTAAGGAGTGACTGAACGATTTCGACAATACTGTTGCGCTTATGTGCAGCGGTCCGTGCAGAGTATTCATCGTGAAGTAACAATAATTCCGGGTTACCGGGCGCCGTGTCAAAGTCACTCTCCTCGCGAAATGAATCGAAAATGTCAGGCGGCGGCCAACGTAGCGGATCGGCGACGCTCGGCCAACCCGCGGCTGGCAACAATAGTATTAAGAGCCGCGAATACCTCGCGCGGTTTACGCCGATCTCCCGTCCTTCGCTACGGTGAAAGTCCGCAAGAATTCGCCCTCGATCGTGTTGCGAACTTCACATTGAGATCCTCCTGACGTGTCACGATCTCGCTCGGAACCAGTAACGCCGGTAACGAACACCTCGCGTTGCCTCGTAAAACAACAACGAGCGGACGCGATCGTGCCGTTGCCCGCCCGCCCTACGTCGGACAGTCACGACTCTTCGTCAAAAGAAAAGGCGCATTTCGATCACTTGTGAATCGAGTCGCGCGTGATCGGCGAAATTCGACGCTCCGCTCGCGACGTCGACTCGCGACACCGACGCCGACGATTCATCGATACCGACCGATCTCGCGAGAGCGAGCAGCCGGAAGACTGAAAATAGAAATGTAGTCATCTCGACTACCTGATCTCTTCGATGGCGATTTCGAAGGCTCCAAGTTGTTCGTTAACGTACGACGACGACGAACTCGCGCGGAGACAGTAAAGAATGCCTCCTTCTCCTCATTCTTCACCTCTTTCTCCTCCTCCTCCTCCTCCTCCTCCTCCTCCTCCTCCTCCTCTGTCTTTTATCTTTTTCTCTCGCGACACGTAGGACATGTATTCTCGATACGTATTTTTGCGCCGACGCGAACTTCGACGGTTCCGCAAATAGATGCAATGAACGGCCGGCTCTGGTCTCCTCTCTCTCTCTCTCTCTCTCTCTCTTCTCTCTCTCTTCATTGTAAAAAATTAATTGGATAAGATTCTCGAGGGGTGATTCGCTTCCTACTCGTTTTACAGCCCGCTCCCACGAAGGAACGAGCGAAGTCGGCGATGGTAAGCGTCATCGGCCTCTCGAAGCACGTACATCGGGCCGCGTTTAATGCCAATGTTTCCGCATTCTGGAATCTTATTTCTGAACGGGGAATATTCGCTGTCTAGTCGGCACGGTGGCAAAAATTCGCTGCCGACTGCTCACGCCGTGTCAAATCCTCTCGCGAAACCGCGCGTGAACACCAGCCAGCCGGACGTCGCGTCGCGCCGTGCCGCGCCGCGCCGCGCCGCGCCGCGCCGCGCCGCGCGTCGAGATTTTATGGTCTGCGACTCGACTGCATATACTACTTAGGTAGTCCAGGATTCGAGGGGGATTGCAAAGCCGATTTTATCGTAGATAGATTCTAATCGCCGTCGCGATGCGGTACTTCCGCGATGTCAAACTTTATTTCTGTCTGCGAAACATACGCACACCCACACACACGCGTGCGCACGCGCACACACACACACACACACACACACAGACAGACGCTCGGTGTCGAGTCGACTCTTGACGACGTAAGTAATCAAGTCCGCGAAATTGGGAAATTCAACGGGGGACGACAATGTTTCGGCATACCCCGAGTACGATTTCTCGCACCTTTGACGAAAAGACTCGAGCGAAGCGATGACATTACGGTACTGCTTCTCTGCACGAAACGTAGGAATTAATTCGCAGTGCGTTAAATGAATCTTTCGCGATATGACACTTCTCACTTCCGCGCGTGTGAGTGTCAGAAGTTAAACGTGATAAATGACCCGCTATGCCCGAGTCGGCGCGATGTAACGCGAGCTCGCGTCTTACTTTAGGATCTTTTTAAGCATTCGCGACGGCGCGACGCCGCGACCGCGACGACGTATCGTGGAAAAGGTGGAAAGACAGTGAGAGAGAGAGAGAGAGAGAGAGAGAGAGAGAGAGAGAGAGAGAGAGAGAGAGAGAGAGAGAGAGAGAGAGAGAGAGAGAGAGAGATGATGTAACGCGTGAATCAGAGTGTGAGATTACCGAGCAGAAACCGATTTCGCAAGTGACGTGAATCGGCCACGTCGCTGTGTCCCTTTATCGGAATTCGACGTCCGTAAGACACGGCTGTTTGCCACGGGTGATCTAATATTTGCACGGTCGTTACTATCGGTCGGTCGCTATCGAAACGTTTCTCGGATAACTCGGCTCGCGGTCGTTGAACGTGGGCAAATTTCGCGCACCGGGAAAAAGTCGAGTCGCGAAAAGGAGAAACAGCTGCGAGAGCGAAGTACAGTTACGAGTCTCGCGAATCTCGCAGCCTTCGCGATCGAAGAATCGACGGCGGGCCATGACGACGAAATATAGACGCTCGCGACTCGCAGTTGACCCTTCGATACATTCAAGTCGTAGTTTACGCGACTTGAGCCAGGAGAAAAGAAAAGCAGAGGAGCGGAATCGCTCGTCGGAACGAGCGATACTCGTCGCGCACGAGACGAGACGAAAAGACGAAAGAAATAGAACAACGACACGTGCAACTTCTATATTTCATCCGAAGAATCTCCTAGCGCAGTCCATTACCAGCCAGGAGTTCACGACCTCCCTCACCCACGTATCTAAAATAGATTTCCCCTCCTCAAATTCCTCATTCATCTGACCGACTGTAACATCAGCGGAGCTTCTCCATCCACCCTTCTAATAATTTTTAGACGCGGCGGAGTTCTCGGTAAACTCTCGACGATCAAAATACACCTTCGCGGTGATTCTACCCACAATAGATACCGATTATATCGAGATTATTTGGGACGAGCTATTGATTCACTTAAATTTCCACCTCCCTCTTTCTTTCATCCTCTTTTTTCTCGATAGACCCGAAAGAGACGAATCTCACGAAAATCCCCCCTTCGATACCTGCGCATCATCGGCGCGCCTTAGAGACTCGGAATAAAACACAGCTCGCACGGCTGTGTTTTATCTCACCGTCCGTTCCGAAAGAGTTAATCTACGTTACTCAACCTCGGCCCGCGAGACGTTAGTCGCTAATCTCGAAAACGGGGGAGAAAAAAGGAGGAGAGAAAAAAAAGGAGATTCGGATACGGTGGACGAATGGATCGCGCTTCATTCAGCGCCTGAAAATCGGTGATTTACACGCTGTGTGTGTGTGTGTGTGTGTGTGTGTGTGTGTGACTCGCGGGCATATTACTAAACGCGTTGCCTCACGCGCGACGATATATCCGCGTCACACGGCGACGTCGCGCTTTACGACGCGCGAGTGTCGCGCCGCGGCCGCGCCGAACGAAAAGGCCGCTGTTAGAGGAGATAAAAATAACAATTAATAATCGCGTTACAAGGTTTTACACTTCCAGCGTACGTTGACGCAACGCGCGCGCGCGCGCGCGCGCCTGAGCGATTCGGATCTCCGTGCCAAGGACAAGTGGCTTTTAGCGACGGCGGCATTGATTTTGCGGCTGCCTTTCTTTTCCAAAACCGTGCGCGACAAAGAAAGCCGTCGCGCGCGCCGCGCCGTTGCGACAGGCACGCAATCTCACGTCCCGGAGACCATATGCATAATGACGTAATTTACGGCTGCAATTTGTACGGTGTGTAACCGCGCTTATTATACGTGCCTGTTGTACGGTAGTGTGTGTAGCACCGAAATACGGAGACGTGCGTAGCGAGAATGATCCTCGGGGCGGTGATAAAGCAACGCGATTGCATTCTCGGGGAGTCGTTTAGCGAGCCCTATCGCTCCCGGCCGGAGTGTCGACAACTCTCGCAATCATAACATTTCGCAATATGGAGAATATTGAAAACGGCAATTACGAACGGAATGGTTCACGCGAGGCCGATTAGACGCGTCGAATCGGCGCAAATGTATCTGGCCCGTTCAATGACGGCTCCCAACACACGTCCGGTAACAATCGGCTTCTTAAATATTAATTCGGCTGTGATGAGCGCATCGATACACAGGTCCCCGCGTGGTCGTGGACGAGTCACGTCGTCGCCCACGGGATTGCGCGGCGTAATTCAACGGCGCGGCAGAATCGTCGGTTCATATTAAAGCCGATTATATCGCGTAGCGGTAAACGGCATAGACCCCTTCCGGCCCCGTGCGTCCTACGACTTCTTTTTCAGCGGCCGAGCCGTTTTGGAATCTCTTCATCTCGCTGACGGCGCCGCGTCGCGTTGACACATTCCGCAAGATTAATCGACTCACGTAACAACTCGGACGACATCCGCGCTCGAGACACATTCCGGAGAAATCGTCGTGCCGCTCGACGACGCGCACTGGCCAGGACTCGATCGATCGGTCGATCGAAAATAAAAGCCAAAATTCCGCGGACCGTAACGGCCAGCGTCGGCGCATTCGCCGCGGCATTCGGCCGCGCGCGAGATTCGAAATCGAGATGAGAAACCGAGTCGCGCGCGAGCGTATTCTTGTTCTGCCTTTCTTTTCTTCTTTCTTTTTTTCCTCACGCTGCATAATAGCAGCGGAAAGTATCATTTCTGAGTGAGCGAGCGAGCGCTAAAAGCGCGGCCACGGCGGCACACTAACGCGCGCGAGCCTTCTATCCCTTCTCTCGTGCACGAAAGCGCTCGGTGTCGGTGCTAACCGCGGAAGCTGGCCTCGCCGAGCAATGTCGCCCAGTCTTACGACAGCCTTCTTGCCGGCACGAGCGAGAAAGAAAGAAAGAAAGAAAGAAAGAAAGAGAACTTCTGCCGTCGTTGTTAGCCGCCGTTTTCCTACCGTCTCGTGCGTCTCGACGTTTTTCCCAGGAGCGGTTTCCTTCTCGTCGGCCCGCCGTATCGCGCCGCCGAGACTTCGCGAAACGTGCGATGAACTTCTTCCACGTGAAAGTTCGCTATAACCGTCGAGAGTTATGTTACTTTTCGATGATTAAAACCAGTCGTCGGCCTGCTTAATGCGCTCTAAGTGCCCCGCGCTGTCCGGAACCCGACCTCGTGCATTCCCTGGACGGTGCATGCGCGTTGCGGCGTGTATATAATCAGGTATTATTATCCTTAAAGACTCTGTCACTGATCGGTTCATTTCATCTCGGCGAATCAGTGAGAGGAAGAAAGAGAACGTGTGTGTGTGTGTGTCTGTTTTGCTCGGTCGCTTTTACGTACTCACTTTTACGTCTAGTTTCCCAGCAATTTGTCGAAACGGTGTATCGGATAAGAAAAGGAGGAGAAGAAAGCACCCGGAGTGCTGACGATCTCCCTCGTGACCTTATCGATATAACATAATAATAATGATTTCATCACAGAGCGGCGATCAAATATTTGCCGAGCGCAGGTGGGCAAACGCGGGACGGCGTTCGGCGCTCGCGCGCTGTGACCACTTGATCGTCCCGAAACACGGCACGTGTGCAGAAACTTCGCATACCGGGAGAACGAAATTATTAATCTCTCATTCCGCCCCGACGTCACGTTGCGTGCGCCGTACCAGCAGTATTATCGCGCGCCCGCCGTCACCTGTTCCATCCGGCGTGAGCCGCGTGCGCGGTGTATTTGCGGCGAGATACTTTCGGCCGCTCATCACGCGCGCGCGCGCCTCGCTGTGACTAGTTTCGCGTAAATACGACATAAATCCCGGATTATGTACACAGGTTAACCCCCGCGGCTCCACAGGTATACGCGCGCGGGGACACGCGAGTTAGTCGCGTGCGCTCTCGCGCTCGCGCGCTTTACGCGCGAGCGCGCACGACGACGCGCTCTCGTGTCCCTGATGCCGGTACAAATATGGTGCGATCGTTCGCGGGACGTGTACGGGAACGGCGACGGCGACGGCGGCGACGGCGGCGGCGGCGGCCAGCAGGTCGAAAGTTGCATCTGTTGCATGTGCATACGGTGCATCGGTGATTAGTTACATCGTGCCGCGCCACGCCAGGAATGTTAATCAGGGGGGTGCTGCCGGTGCGCTTTATTAACTGCGAATAAAAATCGCACGTAAGCGCGCGCCCGGCAATGCGACATCGCAGCGGCCGCCGGTGCGATGAATTACAACTTGCACTTGGGAGAGTACGGTTCCCGCATTACCGGACGGGAGCGGCGGCGGGGCGGAGACGGGAATTTCACTCGCGCTTATGTACGTCTCGATACGCGCCGCGCGATCTACATAAGAGAAATTCAAAGCGGGCCGTTACATCACGGATTCGCGTACGTAGTCGCGCGTCGTTAACAGAGTCGTAACGCGCTCCCGCTTGGCGGCAGATAACGTGTATGCAAATGTTTTATCAGTAGGCGCGCGCGGTTAGAATGTAGAAATCCTTGGGGGTCGCGCACTCCGCGACGAAAAATGCGCGCGGCTGCGCGAGCGATGACAATCTCTCTTTCTCTGCATTTCTCTCGATACGTAGGCAGTCTGAAAAGTTCTCGATCTGACACGTACGTGACATTAGAAACTGTCAAACTATAATTGCATTGGAAAGTGGCATCCCTGATATAAAGCCATGTAAAATTTTATTCGATCTGTCAAATCATTCGAGTAGTAGCACCAGTTGAAAAAGCTTTGTGCAAGATGGGTGCCGCATTTGCTAACAATTGACCAAAAACGCATTCGAATGCGTATTTCTCAAGCGTGTTTGATACATTTTAATCGTTTTCAGCAAAATAAAATGGATTTCAAGCGTCGTTTCATAACTGTTGATGAAACTTGAATCCACCACTATACACCAGAGCGAAAGGAACCTTCCGGAATCACACTTTAACGATGGTATTGAATTATTGGAAAGACGTTGGGGAATAAATGTATTGAAGTTTCAGGAGATTATATTGAAAAATAAAACATATTTCACGGCAAAAAAAATTTTCTTTCATTGTTAGGCCGAGAACTTTTCAGACTGCCCTCGTAGGTAAAGGTGAAGGAATTTCCGGGAAATTCAGCGGAAATCGCAATGCGACGGGAGCGCACCGGCGAGCGCTTTTCTCTATCTTCGTTTTTCTCTAACCTCGACGGAGGAGAAAAAGCATCGGCACGCGTCGCGCGGCGAGGAGTTTCGGAAAACCCGCCGCCGAGCGATCGCGAGTGGAGATTACTCGATTACTTCGTGAGACGAAGAGCGCGTAAGACCGAGGAGATGATGTCATTTTTTTCGAACGACAATACGCTCAGCGCGATGTGTAATGTGTGTCGATAGGCGGGCGGTGAATCACTCGGGCGGTTTATTCGTTCGCTATTCGACGGTGCGAATATTTCCGTCGATGCATTTCCTACCTGAGCAAATTTTTCAAGCGTGACATAATATTGCGGTTGATAAGAAATGACTGCGCCGGCGTTGGCGCGTGCCTGAGAATACCGGAGGTAAATTCTAATCGTCAATTCTTTCATTGTGTAGCTCCGACTATGGGAAAGTAATATCTCGAAAGAGAATATCGCGGGATTCTTCGGAAAGGGGACTTCACTTCCACTTCTTTCAGCGGGATCGTAAATACCGAGAGAGCGCACGAGACACGTTCGTTTCGAGTCTTTCGCAAGAATTCACGTGATCTACGACATTCGAGCGAGGGACGAGGATAGCGCTACTGAAATTCCGTCGACGCGGTCTCACCTTGAATCCGTTAGCTTATCAGAAAACGAAACAGACGCTCTGTACAGACGACAGCTTGTCAAACGCGCGATAGAAGCGGCGAGCGTACAATTTCGTTATCTGACAGCCCGCATTGTACCGTCTCAGGACGAAATTGCACGAATCCAGCTTGGATTTTATTATTGCTGATTTAATTACGATAAACTTTCCTCTGTTTTGTTTTCTACGAAACTACCTGTCTCTCGTCTTCCGAACGGACGCATCGACGTGCCGATCGTTATATAACCGATTCCTTCGATATTACAGCAGCTTCAATTCCTTAAGACCGAATTCAAGTCTGCGCGAATCTATCTCAGAGCTCAAAACGATCGCGCTGGGAGCCAACTGACTCTCAAACTTCGCCACTTGAAGCTAGTATCGAGCGCACTCGAAAATTCTGTTCCAGACACGGTAAATGGTAAAATGGAGAACTGCGGAGGCGGCCAGCGCCTGCCCCCGGACGGGGACGAATTTCCAGCGGCGTACCAAGAGTTCAGCGGCGGCGGCGGTGGCGGCGGCGGCGGCGGCGGCGGCGGCGGCGGCGGTGGCGGCGGCGGCCAGCCGTACAGATACATCGCCGCGACAAGGACAGCGCCGATAACCGCGAATGGCGGATTGTGCAACGAGAACGAGCCGTTCCGTGGTAGCGAGACTTTTAAGATGCTCGCGAACGACAACAATGTTGTCGGTTCGAGGAGCATCATCCTGTCCGATAGTAAAATGACGTTGACGAGCACGGAAAACGTGAGGCAGGATATCAACAAAGTCGCTCTGGCAAATATGGAGAACGTCCGCTCGGAGATGGGCAAGACTGCTCCAGCCAATATAGATAATGTGTGCCAGGACGCGAAGTCGTCCGACGCTCCTAACGAAGAGCGGAAGTCGACTTATCAGGCCTCGGAAGACACGACGAAGAAAAATTCCGCCACCGTCGCGGCGGGTTCTCTTTATTCTTGCCCGACGAGTACCGGCAATATAATGATGAGCGAGAAGAAGATGGAGATCGCCGCTTACTATCACAAGGACGTCGCGACGATCGAAGAGGTGCCAAGCCACGCGGAAAAGGACACGCCTGTTGATTCTCCGCCGCCTTTACCATTAACGGGCACGTATTTCACTTTTAATTCAACCTGCCTCTCTCTCTCTCTCTCTCTCTCTCTCTCTCTCTCTCTCTCTCTCTCTCTATCTGTCCTCGTTTAATTTCCTCTTGTAAAGCAACGCTGACACGTGAAAGAAGACAAATTGTATCACGTCACGACTGATTGATCTGGATTTATTCCTCAAAATGATAAAGATAAATACGACTAAATTCTTTAGGCAGTATTTTTTCTCTCGAAAAATCCTGACTGAGTTATATCTCGATATCGCGATTCTATTTCTTGCGTTTCCTTGTTTTTGGCAAAAATTGCATTACAACGTGCGCTTACAGGCCCGCCCAAAATGGAGCAAACAGTTGTACACGCGAGGAACGTCCCTACGATGGAGTCGCCGCAAAGAAAGTTCTCCCTGAACGGCGATCTCTGGAGACAGGACGACAAGTCCGAGCGGTCGGTTCGAGACAAAATCGCCATGTTTTCGTCGCAGAGCAGCCTGGACGCGCCTTTGTTCCCCAACGCCATAGCAGCGGCGGCGGCGGTCACGAGCAGCGGCAAACGCCTCTCTAAGTACAAGTCCTCCGAAGATGTTTGCTGCGACGAGAAGAGTAACGGGCAGAAGGACCGGTCGTCCTTCTTCGCCGACAGGACGCAGAGCTCCTTCGACCTTACTGATTCAGCTAGAACTTCCAGCGCGCATGATTCGCCGAGGAAATACAGCCAACGAACACCCAGCTTGCCCCAAACCATCCAACCCGCTCTGCTGAGTCCAACATCACCGAGCGCGCGCGTCCCGAAGACGCTACCGGTCGTTCCGCCGAAGAACACGTCACTCTCCAGTCCGTTGGTGCCTTCGTACGACAAGCAAACCTTCTTGAACGCGAAGAACTACTGCGCGAACACGTCCGAGGGTAGCGGTTTGCAACAAAGCATCGCGTACCCGACCATCAATAAAGCTGGGACTCCTTGCAATAATTCCAACAGCCTGTCCAAGACACCGAGCACCTCCTCGTTGACGCGCGCCACGAGCTTCTCAGGCGCGACGCTTTTCGTGCAAGACCGAGGCGCCTCGACAACTGACTTCGTCAACAACTCACAGGTCGCGCGAACGAACTCATTAGCGTCCACGTTCAGGAGACCCGGCGAAGACGCCAGGAGAAGCAGCCTGAATCAATTGATCGAGCAGAGGCGGAGGTCAATATCGAAACTGCGCGGTCTGGTCATACCGGAGAAAGATCCTGTGCCGATCGATCAACCTATCGTCGACCTGCCGGAGATCAAGTCTCGGGACTCAATCTTGCTGCATCAGGTAAGAGACGAATGCACCAAAGCGCAAATATTACGGCCGAGTGTAAAATTTATCCTCTATCTACTACTTTGTTCGAAAATTCTTCAAAGATTAATCTTTGTCCTTTCGGTATAATATCACTTTCCTTTGTCGGTATATAATATCACTTCGTTAACTCTTATTCCGACTGCATTAGCAGCGTGTTAGAAACGCACCGAAACGTGTCCTTCCTCTCAGGTATCAAAGGCGAACATTCAGGACAAATGGGGTTCTCAAAGTTCCTTAGCCAGCAACGCCAGCACGGCAAGCGCGCCCTTAAAAGCGACCACATCCTTCAAGATGCCAGCGCCTCAAATACACTCCAAGTACTCCCCGGCCTTCAAGAGGAAATCCCTCACGGTTTACGGCACATCCATGAGCGGCTCCTCGATCAACGGCAGCCTGATCAAGAATTCACAGAGCGCGGCGTCCACGTTCTCCGAGCCGCCGAAGAGCCTGGAAAGCATCTGCAGTCCAACAAGGAGCGACTACAGCTTCGAGTTCGCCTCGGCAACCAGCTCGCCGGACGGCACACGCACCAGGCCGAAGACGATGCAGCGGAAGGCTCGCTTGGATTACGACGATTCCGACAACGACTCGGCCGTGAGCAGCTCGCAGAGCAGCATATCTCGCGGCTTCAGTCCGCCGATGTCCCCGGTGCCGTCCGAGAGGTCCACCATCTCCTCGGAAAGATCCTATGTGTCCACGGAGCTCTGCTACCAACGTCGGACCTTGATCGCGGACAGCGTGAGCAGAAGTTCGGTGCGAGATTCGAGCGGGGCCGACAAGGAACAATTCACCGGTAGAATCGGCGTTCTCGGCGAGCGGACGTACCTGACGGAGAGATCATCGTCCAGCAGTAGCGGTTCGAACCCGCGCTCGCCGCAACCGAGCGAGCTGGCCTCGAGGAACTCGCAGATCCCGCAGAGGCAGCTGAGGCGGTCCAACAGCACTGACACGAATTGCAGCACGTCCTCAACGCTCACGTCCGGCTCCCAAGCCAGCGCCGAGTCGTTGTCCAGGCGGGTGCTGAAGCCGCAGAGTGTGGAGGCGATAAATCGGAAGAACATCTTGGCGAGTGCCCGATGCCGGAGCGGCAGGGATCTAAATGGATCGCCGTTGATCCAACGGAAGTTCTCCGACGACGAGGACGCCGCGAGAGCCGTCGAGAACGGCGGCGCTATCCACCAGAGAGTGAGTAATAATTCTGCGAACGAGTGCGCGAGCAAACAGGAGATCAAGATAGCTTACATAGAAGTCGCGGATCCTTTCGCGGAGGACGAAGGCCCGTTTCAGAAGAAGCTCGAGGAGCCGAAGCTGCCGCCCAAGAGGAGCGTACTTCCTCCTGCCATTAGACCACCGAAATCCGAGCTGCTGGAGCCGTCGAACGACCTGAAGATGTGGGTGCGCGCGGAAGCGAAGACCTTGGCGCGTAACGCGGAAGAAAAGTCGAGCAAGCACAGCGACAAAACGCATCTGGTCGCGCCTCCGAATCTGGACGCGTCGCATGTAATTCACACGACCAAGAGCAGCCGCGGGCCCATGTTCAACGAGCCCATCAACACCGCTGCTAATGGCGGCCTGCCTGCGAAGAACAGAGCGACGATGGAGGAAACGAAGATGGCCACTGCGGAGACGGCGAAGCAACAATGCAGAGCGAACTTAGCTTCCAGAAGAGGCACCGAGGAGCAGAACGACCTCCTGACGATCTTAACGACGAAGAGCAGATCCAGATCAGCGATACATGTGGACGAAGGGACCTTTGGCCGGTCGAAGAGCCAGATGAGTCTGGAAGACATACTGGGTGGTAAAGCGGATCCGAAAGTGCTCCGCGCGCAGAATATGGAGCCGAAGATCGAGAAGAACGGCGCGTTGCAGAGCCCGTCAGCCAAGTCCACGTGGGAGTCGAAGGAGAGCCGATACGGTAGACGCGGCTCCGCCGCCTCGAACGACTCCTGGTCGGAAGAGCGACCACCCTTTATCTCGAAGATACCCACTTTAGGGAAAACCAGGCCGCTCGATAGCGGCGACGAGATGTCAGAAGCCATGGAAAGGACGAAGAGCGCGGTGTCGAAGATCCCAACGTCCCGCGGCCTGAATCGACGCAGCGCCAGCGTCACCGACATGAAGAAGGCCCTGGAGAAAATCGACGCGGCGAGCTCTCCCCATGGTCAAGCGCAGCAGAGCAGCGGCGGCAGCGCTCATAACCGCTTCCCGAGCCTGGACAGTAGCGTGGACGAGAACGTCTGCGCGATCATCGGCACGGAGACGGACACCGACAGGTGCTACAGCGAGCAGTTCGGCAGTATCAGCTCGTTAGCCAGCAGCACCAGCCTGATCTCGCAGCAGGAACTGGCGCAGCTGGTGGAGGAGGCGAGCTTGGAGGAGGCGCGCGGCGCTCATGACGTCGTGGTCGTGTTGCTGCACAAGGAAAACCCGACCGGCAGCGTCGGTATCACCTTAGCCGGCGGGGCGGACTGCGAAGTGAAGGAGATCACGGTGCACCGAGTGCTGACGCACTCCATCGCCGACAAGGACGGTCGGGTGCAGAGGGGCGATAGGATCCTCAGTATAAACGGCAGGAGCACCCGGGGCCTCACCCACAGGGAAAGTATGGCAGTGCTGAAGCAGCCGAGGTCGGAGGTCGTGCTGGTGGTGTCGAGGGCCAGGATGGAGGAAGGCTGCAAGCTGAGGTCGCGAACCGCGAGTGTCGAGACCATCGTCGAAGGTGAACGCACGTGAACGTTCGGTAGCGGCGCCCTTGGCGTCGTCAGGGACGACGACGAGGACGGGGTTTAAGAGAGAGGATTCTCATTTCAGGGTTAGAGACGAACGGGGTCGTCGAGAACATCGCATGGGGGCCCCCCTCGACCGTGGCGGTCTACAAGGACGGAGCTGGTCTGGGTTTTAGTCTGGAAGGCGGCAGAGATAGTCCCCTCGGGGACAGACCTCTCATCATCAAGAAGATATTCACCGGTGAGATTTCACGCGTATATCTCATTCGAAACGTAAACTTATCGGGGTGGCAACGGGGTGATAACAAATAAAGCCGATTACATCAGTTGACAACAGTTGCCTTTCGGTTGCGTTACCACTGAGAAGCAACAAGATAAGATAATGAGTATTAAGTGCGGAACTCTGTCGTGATAGCAATTTCTTTATCTTTGTGTCGCGTTGCAGGAGGTGCTGCCGAGAAGACAGGCGCCTTAAGAGCCGGGGACCAACTGCTCGAGGTGAATGGCAACGACGTGACGCGAATGTCAAGGATAGAAGCGTGGTCCTTGATGAAGAAACTACACGACGGTGAAGTGAATCTCCTAGTCAGGCATCCTGCCACCAAGTCCTCGTAAAGAGAAGCAATTCTCGATGGGGCTGCGACGGTGCGAACGGAGTGCGGGAATGTGCCAAGCAAGCAAGCAAGCGACTGCATAATTTCTCGATGGATATTCCTTGAGATAGGCATAATGCTTAAAATAACGTGCTCATCAATGTGTTATTCGAGGAGCATTACATTCGGCTAGGTATTAACGCGAGGAGCTATTCTTTGTCGGGTTTGAGTTGTCGTCGTAAAAGTTCCTTTTGACACCTGAACGTGAGAGAGAGAGAGAGAGAGAGAGAGAGAGAGAAAGAGAGAGAGAGAGAGAGAGACAGAACGAGAAATCGTGTGAATTATTCACGAGAATTTATATATATCTTATACAAATTTTAAGATACCGCTTTGTAGTCAAAGTCGAAGATTAGCGTCGCCGATTTATGTAACATGTTCTTACATTTTTCAAGTGTCTAAACTACGAATTAAATAGCTGTCGTATATCCCGCCGTTTTGATAATTATATGGAGTATCATCCGTCATATTTCAATTTGATGAGCGAAGCCTTGATCAAGAATCAGAAAGTAAGAGAATGTGCACGATGCGAGTCTACAATTTTCTAACTTATTATTTTGCCTTTCAATCAGGCACCTCGTACCACGTACTACACTTTTAGGAGATATCACCTTGTACGTAATTAGTAGTAAAATAGCGTACTGTTCGAATACGCGTAAATTTAAAAATGCAATGATTTCATGCAGTTGAGTCTTCACACTCGGAGATGCGGGACGCGTAACAACGAGAATAGGTCTAAAACGAATTCCCAATTAAAATCGACAATTCGAAGTGCAGTTGCGCACCGTGACGGTACGCAACGATGGTTGGACGCGGAATAATGAGCGGTTTGTTACATACGTATTATGTAATCGTGAGCATTCATTGGGATGCAACTAGAGCGTATCGATAGGTATTTCAACAAAATATTTTAACAAGGAGATACGCGCATGGAAATTTACGATACGATGTATGCCATACGCAATGAACCGTAACGTTACTGGAATGGAGTAAGTAGATAGGCATGCCAATTAATCATTTAGGTACAACGTCGATACGCCGTCGTACGACATTAATTACATAGTGCCGGCCGTGCAGTAATAGTTCGAATTAAGTTTGCGACAGAAGCAAGTAGCGCTGAGTATATAATTAAAAAATACGAGCCCGATTGTGCGAATCCCTTAATAGTATATCGCTTAATCCCGATCGATTTTACCGTATAGCCACCCTGCCGCTTTATCATAGTGGTTCCTGTTGATTTACTCTTTAAGATGCGAACGAGGTGGAATATAAAGGTTTCTCGTATAAAATCGCAGTGATACGCAGCCTGTAGCGCCAGGTAACGCGGGGGAGAGACATTGTTTCAGTTCTCTAAACGTTAACGCAAATAAGAGATCGTACGAATAAGCTTCCTACTTTTTTTGCCGCCCTGTCGCAGCTATTAGTAGTGATTAATTGTTTCTTTTGTATCGTAATGAAAAAAAATCGTTGATTGTTATTAAAATTCGAAATCAAACTGATTCTCTTCAGGCGATTACCTTAAATTCAGTAGCTTTCGTTGAGAACGATAAAGACAAAGGCGAAAGACGAATTGTCTCGACGAAACTGTGTATACTCGCGAATAGATTTAGCAATTACGGCATTTTTTCTCGAAGAGTGCCGACATGTTACAGCAACTCGCGAGTATGTCTATAGCGGTACAATGCCTATCGAAGATTTTTATTTCGAATTCTCTTAGTTTCACGAAGGAATAACTCGTTATAGAATCATGAAAGACTATTGATGTGGTTACTTAACCACGAAATATCCGTTTATCCAACACGTAGATTTAATGCCGTCCGGAAGTAAAATCTTCGATTATACAGTTATTTTATCGAGAGTCATATATGCTTTTAGCGTTGCAATGCTAGTTGAAAAGTTTGGCAAATGAATGTTGGGGCATATATGATATTTCCGTATGCGCGATAAGGATATAACAGAACGCAATATGCAATAAGGACACACTTACCATCGACGAGGACTTCGAAAAGGCCTGAGCCGCGTAAGCAGGAAGAAGATGATCGTATTGGAGAAGGCCCGTTGTGACTTCAATTGTCCTCCGACTTGTGTCGTTGCTAAAAAGAAAGAGATAGTAGAGCTTACTTCCCGCCTTTGCGTATATTCACTCTTTCGTTATATTTTTGATATTACTGTATATACCTGTACCTGTACACATCGATCGGAAATTCAGAACCTGGTATACATCAAACGTGGAGAGAGAGGAAGGCATTTCGTGTTGAATCGCGCGGAAGATGCGTTATCGCGACGATCGCTTTCCTTACTTCTCACATTAGGATCTAACAAAAAGATTGAACTCTAACCCTTATACAAGCGTGTGTTTCGGTTATGGAATTTATCTCTTCTTAATATGCCACTTGTACTCAACAACAAGTATAATTACTCAACAACAAGTGATCGATCGTTCTTACCTTGAATTATACACTAAAGTCGTTGTGCTAATGATCGAATAAGCTTGAGATCCAGCATGAAAAGGATGATAAAAATTAATCGCAAAAACGACGCGGACGCGGTCTAAATGACCGTTAGCCATTCTCGGCAATGAACATGTCGCGACTCTCTACTGTGTGAAGTGAGCAACAAACGGCCATAGCTTCTCATTGGCAGATTAAATTCGAATTATGGCGAATGAAAAAGTTCCATTTCAAATCAAATTCAAATTTAAATTTTAATAGTTTGAGATTGCGATATGAAGTTTTGTCATCCCTTAAACTTATCAACCAGTTTAATTTAGGAAGTAAACTTGATAATTATTTGAATGAATTTTTATTACCATTCATATACATCGAGCCTTAAATATTCTATTCTGTTATATTCTTGTGTTTATTGTCATTAAATCTCTAATTTTATACCCATTTGTTTGTGTATGTGCGTGTATGTGTGCACATGAAACGTGAACCAACGTTTAGATTCATTAATTTACTTTCAATCTCAATTGGAGTTATACAACAGAAACCGCGCAGAGCTAAGAGAAAAAGTGTCATATGTATAATATAACAGAAATATTATTATTAATATGAAGGTGCATATGTGTGTGTATGTGCGTGTGTGTACACACATACACACACATATATTAAAATGTATTTAAACATTATATGAATCGCTTTTTGGATCTGCATTTATTAAAATTCGTGCTGTGATATACATGTGAATGTCACGATATAGCGTAAAGCAAACAACTATTGATAAAAAAGAAACTAATCGATATTATTACATATTTTTTAAAACATTGTAAATTCGTTATAAAGTATTCAACTGTTTACTTTCGTATCGTTTAACCTTACAAATGTGCTTTTTTAATTGCATACTTTCTACTATATACATATATATATATATATATATACATATATATATATATATAAAATATATATTATATTATATATATAAAATATATATTATATATATACATATATATATATATAAAAACACATTGTAAACAGAGACGTTCTTTACAATATTGATTGTATGTCAAAGGCGTAGAAAATTTCTCGCGCGACACACGTAAAAGAAAATTGAAATAATCCAGATGAGTCACGTTGAATCCATCCACGAGAACAATCTTTTTCGTTCGAATTGTTTTTTTATGTATGTATTATATTGAAAAATGACTATGTTCCAATTTCTTTGTGTTTGTTTAATATATTTATTAAATATTATAGTTGTACATTAAAAACCATAATAACAGAGCAAATTGTATATAGGGACGATCAATACCAATAATATTTCTTTGGAACACGATCTTCTTTAATACCCATGTTTTCCATAATATCCATTTCAAAAGTCTTTAACACCGGCTGCGAATGGAAAAATGTAGCTATGTTATTTTGCTTCATGTTTCCTTACCAACAGCATAATTATTATGTTGCAAATAGCATACTGATTATATGTTACAATGTTAAAATAAATATCGACTTAATGCGTTCAAATGTTTAAGAATAAATTTATATATATGGAAAGAGACACTATAAATCTGGAAGAAATATTGTGCATATTATGTACCTTAAAAGTTACTTGCATCACTTGCTCTTTGACTGTATCTTTCGGTTGATTCATATACAGTTTCATATGTTTATAATCTTTCGTTTCCTCGTTGGATGCAGGAATAGGAATTATTTTACCACTTCTCAAAGATACACGTACATGCCTGCCATCTTCTGTGTATCGCCATTCTATCGATGTTCCTTGCCTATAATGATTTAATTTATATTATGGAACATATATATCTTATGCTATGAAACATTAATATATTCTATATAGAAATTCTTTAGTAATATATGTTTCGTAATATTTCTCAAATAATATGTAATATTTCATAATATTTCTCAAGTAAATGATGCTTACATATCTAAAGGATCAATTAATCGCACATCTGTGGTTACTAGTAATGGTTGTTCTTTTAGCATATATAAACCAGGAAAGTCCTTCTTCTTCAGGACATGATCCAATTTTGTGTTAAGCCCTTCGACAATAACCCAATTCCTCTCTTGGTAGATTTCTTTTACGATTCCTTGCTTCCCTTTATCTTTTCCTACTAAAATTTCTACCTATATAATTACATATAAATATAAATATACATAAACATACATAAAAAATATATATAAATCTAATAGTATGCAATAATATAACTTAATGGTATGCAATATTATAACTTATACACTAGATTGATATTCTTAAAAACAAGGATTTTGTTTGTAAAGTTGTACAAATTTTAATTTATAAAGGCAAAAGATTAATATACCCTGTCACCACGAAAGAAAGACCAGTTCTTGATAGGCTCGACATGGACAAACTGCAGGTTCTGACCTGATTGATTATCGTGTTGAAAACCTATAGTCCATGGACGATGTATAGAGAAATAAAATCGTTTTCTTCCAATTGACCGTGGCAAATAATTGGGCTTTCCACGGGGTGTCTTCCATAGAAACTAATTATATTTCATAAATTAATAAAAGAAATATATTCAAATTAATAGAGAATAAAGCGACAGAGTGCTGTAAAATATTATGAGCATGATATATAATATATAATATTCCCTAAATATTTTAATAATTGTCTATACCTTTTCCATACATCGCTTAATATATGATTCTGGTAAATTTGCATATCTGTTTGACCACTCTCCCATACGACTTCGTTGTAATAGGCTTGATATTAATCTCATTTTTGTTTTCACCAAATCTGTTAAAATTCAATTTCATTTAAATATATAAATTACATATTGACCAAACTTTGTAAAGTACACAATCAGTTTATGGTTATGATATATACTTTATAAAATAAATAGGGATACACAATATTCAATCGATGTGTATATACATACTTCGTTTCAATCACCTTGTAGATTATTCAGTTTATAAATCCGTTCTATAGGCCTGTTCGTTTTGTCTACACTGCTGAATTGGTGCAACAAATTGAAGTGAGAAAACCTAGGTTTGTCTCACTTTAACTTAATGCACCAGTTCAGAAGTGCAGATAAAACGAACAGGCCTCATGTCTTCATGGATTCCTTGGGGCGAGGAATTTGTGAAACACTCTGTATATGTGTTCCGGATTGCAATTTTAGTATTATTTCAACTTCGAATTATTAACTTAAGGAATGCCATCGTCGTATGTATATATTTAAAATAAAAACTATTCTAAATTTTCTTACGTTTTACAATCCTAAAGGCTCATCTACAATGGCTGCAAGAATAAAGGCCTATCCAGACAAACTTGCATAAGCGCGTAACGCATATGCATAAGGAAATTGACTAATCGTATGTTTAATACAAAAAATATTTTTTTACTACACGGATCATAATTGGTCAATTTCCTTATGCATATGCGTTACGCGCTTATGCAAGTTTGTCTGGATAAGTCTTAAGGGCCAGAACACAGACTTCTGCATAACGCATAATACACAACACATAAGAGAATCAACAAATCAGAGTTCTTCATTCCTGTCCTGAGGAGGGAAATGAAGAAAACTAATTAGTTTATTCTATTATGCGTTATGTATTAGGTGTTATGCAAAAGCCTGTGTTTTGCCCTTAGGTTGTAAGTGTTAGCAGTAAGAAATGGACCAATCATAATCGATTATTCTTATAATAATCGACTGTGGTTGATCTATTTCTTACTGCTCACGCTTAGGGCAAGAGCACAGGCTTTTGCATAACACATAATACATAACGCATAAGAGAATAAACCAATTAGTTTTCTTCATTTCCCTCTTCAGGATAGAAGTGAAAAACTCTGATTGGTTGATTCTCTTATGCGTTTTGTATTATGCGTTATGCAGAAGTCTGTGCTCTGGCCCTTAGGCTTGGTCTACAATACGTGTGGTATTGTAAGCCGTAAGAATTGGTGAATCATAGTCGATTATTACAAAAATAATCGGCTATAATTGGTCAGTTCTTATGGCCATTCTACAATAAGCTATTAAGACTCGTCTACAATAGCTGTAAGAGTAAAGGCCATTGCACGTACAAAAGTTTTAGTCGTAACCGTAAGTCCGTAAGCAAATTGACCAATCACAATTCGTATGTTTCGAGATGCTGGATTGTGATTGGTCAATTTGCTTACGGTCTTACGGTTACAACTAAAATTTTTTTACATGCAATGGCCTTTAAGCTGTAAGGTTGCAAGACACGAAATGAAATATTTTCATTCGCTGACAGCTTACGTTACAGCAGAGAGAAAGAGCGGCCACGCCGGCGTTTTTGGCGACATGCATTTTGATGATTGATTTTAACGCCATCTGCGTCCATTTGTAGCCCGGAACTACGTTAACTACGCTCATTTGCAGACGCTGCCGGTAAAGTCTCTATTTGGTGCGTGTCCATTCTACGCCCATTTACTGGCGGTTCGTGTCTGTGGTACGCCTATAATTGCCCAGAACTATATATATATATAATTCAATCTCCTAATAATACGTATATAGAAATACTTTTCAATTATATTTGAAATAACTAAAACTAACAACAAGAGGAGGTACGTTTTAGATCATAGAAAGGTTAAAATGCTGCGTTAAACATCGCTGGGAAGCTGCACATGGCGGTACGTTGCGAAAAAAATTTGTGTTTCTGAGATTTCGAAACACCCGCGATGATACTTTCAGATTGTCTGACGTATCGAGAGCAGAAAAGTAAAAGGCTGTCTCATGGAATTGACAAATATGTACACAGATTCTCCCGCTCGCTTGCCGCAGCGTCGCAAACGCCGGAATACATCCGGTCGTAATTGAAGTTTCGCAATAAAGCACCCCCCTCTGCTCGAAGAAGAGAAATTTTTTCAGCGAATTACCGCCAGAGGATTAACACATTCGTTCCCATCCGCTTTTATTGATGTAAACAATACGCGGCACGTGTGTGGGAACGAATGTGTCGGGAGATCAATTGACAATCAAGAGACACGGTAGTGTCTCGCGCCAAATGCACGCGAGAGCTAAGCGAACGAGGGGAAAGACCATTTGTTATCTCGAACGACGCTTCGACAAAAGCACGGCTATCAGCCCTCTTTCGCTGCAAGGAAATTATTCGATGTTCCGATCACGCGGAACAACGCTCGAACAAAGCTAGAGCGTCGCCAAGAAATCGCGATTGCACGCGATAGGAGGCCGAGCAGCGTGCACGTGCTGGCTCTGCTTTAATTAATCCGAATGTGAGTGCAGCCCGGACCTAAATGTCTGGCGCAAACTACTTTTTCGTTGTCGTTGTCGTAGTTACTGCGCCGCGGAAGCAGGCCTTACGCCACGTACGTATCGTCCGTGCCTCGACAATCATCCAAAACGCGACCGAGCCGCGCCCGCATAATACCGCCGATTGTCCTTACATTAGCGCGACGCGTCGCTCTCGGTGCGCTAATTTACCATTCGTACCTTTGATTCGAAATCGAATACGCGAGTCGCGTTTACAGTCAAACTATGCCGCTGGACACTGTCTCTCTCGCAGTGTTTCAAGGCGGAATTGAGGTTGAGGAATTAATTCACGTATTCGTCGAGACATTATAATTGCTATTTAGCTCTGAGCTAGTTTATTCAACTAAGTACGCGGATAGAAAAGCGATTTGTGTTAATTGTTCATTTTCTCTCACAGAGAAACGACAGAGAGTAAATCAGTATCGAGAATTACGTACTTGACGAAACGTACTATAATTGCTATTTAATTCTGGGCTAGCTTATTCAACCGCAAGTAACTCTAATAGACGAACGATTCGCGTCAGTTCTCCTTCATCTTGTCTTACAGAGAAGTGAGACAATAAATTAGTATCAATAAATTAATATCAAAAAATTATCAATATTAATGCAGAAAATCACATACTAGACGGGACGTATTATAATTGCTACTTAATCTTAAACTTTATTCAATCCTAAACTTTATTCAATCCTAAACTTTATTCAATCCTAAACTTTATTCAATCCTAAACTTCATTCAATTCTAAATTTTAATCAATTTTAAATTTTATTCAATTCTAAAATTTATTCAAACTAATTCAAAGTAATTCTATTCAAAGTAATTGGGATAAACGAACGATTCGTGTCAATTTTCCTTTCTCTTTCATACAGAAGTGAAAGAAGAATAAATCAGTATCGAAAAATATTATCCGTATCAATATCGAAGATTGAATATCGATCAATATCGTAAATTAATGTCGAAAAATTATCAAAGTGCAATGACAATTTGTTTGCATTTCTCAGTTACTTACCCCTCTACTTTATTCGACAGATCAACTCGAATAAACGAACGATTCGTATCAATTTTCCTTCTCTTATGAAGAAATAAGATAGTAAATCAGTACCAAAAATCGAATATCGATCAATACATCGATCAATAAATACAATCGATCAATAAATCAGTGTCAGAAAATTGTCCAAGTGCAATGACAATTTGTTCTTATTTTTCAGGTACTTACCCCTCTAATCTTATTCAACAAATTAACTCGGATAAACGAACGACTCGTATCAATTTTTTTTGTCTTATAAAACAATGAGAAAATAAATCAGTACCGAAAATCGAAGACCGTTCAATATCTAATATTTTCATCAAATTAACGCGGATAAACAAACGATTTGTATCAACCTTTTTTTCTTTTATAGAGAAATCAAAGACTAAATCAGTACCGAAAACCGGATATTGATCAATACTATAAATCAGTGTTAGAAAATTGTCTAAGTGCAATGACAAGTTATTTTCATCTTGCAGGTACTTACCCCACTAATTTATTCAACAAATTAAGTTGGATAAAAGAACGATTCGTATCAATTTTTATTCTTTTATAAAGAAATTAGAGAATTAGTCAGTACCGAAAATTGAAGACCGATCAATATTTAATTTATTCATCAAAATAACGCGAATAAATGAACGATTCGTATGAATTTTTTTTCTTATAGAGAAATGATAGAGTAAATCAGTACCGAAAATCGAATATCGATTAATACCATAAATCAGTGTCAGAAAATTGTCCAAGTGCAATGACAATTTGTTCTCATTTTTCAGGTACTTACCCCTCTAATCTTATTCAACAAATTAACTCGGATAAACGAACGATTCGTATCAATTTTATTTGTGTTATAAAACAATAAGAAAATAAATTAGTACCGAAAATCGAAGACCGTTCAATATCTAATTTTTTCATCAAATTAACGCGGATAAATGAACAATTTGTATCAATCTTTTTTTCTTTTATAGAAAAATCAAAAGCTAAATCAGTATCGAAAACCGGATATTGATTAATACTATAAATCAGCGTTATAAAATTGTCTAAGTGCAATGACAAGTTGTTTTCATCTTGCAGGTACTTACCCCACTAATTTATTCAACAAATTAAGTTGGATAAAAGAACGATTCGTATCAATTTTTATTCTTTTATAAAGAAATTAGAGAATTAGTCAGTACCGAAAATTGAAGACCGATCAATATTTAATTTATTCATCAAAATAACGCGAATAAATGAACGATTCGTATGAATTTTTTTTCTTATAGAGAAATGATAGAGTAAATCAGTACCGAAAATCGAATATCGATTAATACCATAAATCAGTGTCAGAAAATTGTCCAAGTGCAATGACAATTTGTTCTCATTTTTCAGGTACTTACCCCTCTAATCTTATTCAACAAATTAACTCGGATAAACGAACGATTCGTATCAATTTTATTTGTGTTATAAAACAATAAGAAAATAAATTAGTACCGAAAATCGAAGACCGTTCAATATCTAATTTTTTCATCAAATTAACGCGGATAAATGAACAATTTGTATCAATCTTTTTTTCTTTTATAGAAAAATCAAAAGCTAAATCAGTATCGAAAACCGGATATTGATTAATACTATAAATCAGCGTTATAAAATTGTCTAAGTGCAATGACAAGTTGTTTTCATCTTGCAGGTACTTACCCCACTAATTTACTCAACAAATTATGTTGGATAAAAGTACGATTCGTATCAATTTTTATTCTCTTATAAAGAAATTAGAGAATCAGTCAGTACCGAAAATTGAATCTCGATCAATAT